GCCTTCTGTCATTCTGTGTAATAGGTCATTTATAAAGTTTGTGACTTCCCAAAAAACAAAAAAGTAATTAGGTGCTTTCAGAAAATCTGTAAAACACTTTACCCAACACCTGACATTTACCTGTTTTCTCCTTTATTTAGGAAACCACAGCTGCTTCAGGGAGTATACGGCCTGGGTTTCAATCGGCCATCCAAAATCCAGGAAACTGCCTTACCGATGATGCTGGCTGAACCGTGAGTGTATTTTACACACTCTAGCAAAGTGTTGTGTTTCTGAAGAAGTACTGAAATCCCTCACAGCAAGGACTTACTAAATAACTTTAAAATAAATCGAATAACACCTTCCACTTGTCATTTATGGTGCTCACAACAAGGACCTCTTTATAGCATGTACCTGCAAGCTAATCTCTGGTTACTTCTAGTCCACAGAATCTGATTGCTCAGTCGCAGTCAGGAACAGGAAAAACAGCTGCCTTTGTCCTGGCCATGCTCAGCCACGTAGACCCCAACAACAAATATCCCCAGGTTGGTATTCACTTTCCCTTTCAAAATTCTGTATTTTAAATTGGAAGTTCCTGAACTGATACATGTGAACTGCTTTACACAATATCCTAAACACTCCTCCTGCATCCTCTTCATGGGTCCTTTTGTGTCTCACTCTTATGCTGCCTCTCACAAAAAACTCTTTGACACTCACAACTTAAACTGAATGACAGGAGCGTTCATCTTTACCTAAATCCTGTTTTCTTTATTTTCCTGTCTCCATCAGTGCCTGTGTGTGTCACCCACATATGAATTGGCACTTCAGACTGGAAAGGTGATTGAGCAGATGGGAAAACATTATCCCGAGGTCCAGCTTGTCTATGCCATTAGAGGAAATAAATGTAAGGCTTTTCTGTTTTTTGCTGTGCTACATCTGTACTGTCTTAGATTGAGTTGTTCCTATTGATAACCTTTTGTGTTTATTTTGTCCCTTGTGTGTGTTCCAGTGCAGCGAGGCATGAAACTGCAGGAACAGATAGTAATTGGGACACCTGGTACCATGCTGGACTGGTGTGGTAAATTCAAGTTTATTGACCCCAAAAAGGTTAAAGTTTTTGTGCTGGATGAAGCCGACGTCATGATCGCCACACAGGGTCACCAGGACCAGAGTATCCGTATCCAGAGGTTAGTCAAAACTAATTGGGAAAAAAAACAAATAGATTCATGCAAAAGACTCAACTGGTGTGCAGCTGCATAATTTGACCACTTGTACCTCAAATAAATTAATACATTTTTAAAGTTACTGACCTTTCACTTCTCACTTCTTTACCACACAGGATGCTTCCTAAAAACTGCCAGATGTTGCTGTTCTCAGCCACATTTGAAGAGTCGGTGTGGAACTTTGCTCAGCGCATTGTGCCAGATCCCAACATCATCAAGTTGAAGAGAGAAGAAGAGACACTGGATACCATCAAACAGTACTACGTGTTGTGCAACTGCAAGGAGGAGAAGTTCCAAGCTCTCTGTAACATCTATGGAGCCATCACCATCGCTCAGGCCATGATCTTCTGCCATGTGAGTTCATTCAATTCACGCAAGATCTGTAATAAAAAAACAGTGCCTCTCATATTGACTCAGATTCCTTTTAATTTGTTTCCATTCACGTCATCAGAATTTGCTGTTCTACAGCATTGGTTGCTCTGCTTTTTTCTGTAATCCATAAAGGAAAAAAACATTTGGCAACAGTAGGTAAGTTACTGGAAGAGCTTCCGCCTTACATCACCTAAACGCGTTTGTCAAGGTGTAATTATACTCCGACTCTTCCAGTAAATTGACTGCTGTTGCCAATTTTTTTGTTTTTCACACTTGATCAATTGTTACGTAAGCACAGAGCTTTCTGGTGAAGTAGCTACAGCACACTTTTTCTTCTGTGTAATCCAGACAAGGAAGACCGCAGGCTGGCTTGCAGGAGAGCTGTCCAGAGAGGGCCACCAGGTAGCACTGCTGAGTGGGGAAATGCAGGTGGAGCAGAGGGCTGCCGTCATTGAACGCTTCAGAGGTGGAAAGGAGAAGGTCCTGGTCACTACAAATGTCTGCGCTCGAGGTAATGACTGAGTTATTCATGAGTGCTCACAAGATGAATCACTTGCAGTCGCATTCAGAAGAGCATTATCTCCATATTTATTCACACCTTTGCACTTGAAAATGATATCTTTACAAATCTGGTGCAGCATTTGTATGTTCAGACTTTGAAATATACTTTGAAGTAAAGTCAGAGTCAGAAAGAGAAAGAAAGCAGGGAAAAATGGATCTTAGGCATTCATTTTTCTGTGCATAAAAAAACACAAAAGTACAGTGTATGAGTCAACTGACAATGTTTTTGTTGGCAATGATAGTGATACCAATTATTAAGTATTAATCCAGGATAAATGTTCCAATAAGTGATATTTGGAACCAGTGTGCATTTGCAACAGAAATACAATCTTGGTGTTAAATATTACAATATTACTAACCAACAAAAAATGATGTTGATAATCAAAAAGATGCTGAATATTGGACCTTACAATCAGTCCTTTGAACAATGCAGTCAAAAAATATTTCAAGAGAGGTATCACTGTGTTTGAGGGAAGATTTTCACATCTATATTGTAGCTCGTTTTGCCTGATGCATCAAAAAAGTTATTTTCTGCCTGGTTCACTGGGTTTGGATGTACATTATTATAACTTCTAAGTACAGGAATGCAGAACTAAAACAAGTCTGTTAATTATTGCAGACCGCCCTGTTTGTAGTGCATCTTCAAAAGAGATCAAATTAATTGGAAAATAAATGGAAAGATACGCTATTGTCATACATATAAACCTTGAGATTTGTCACAACAGTGCAAGTTTGGATACAGAAACTTAAATAATACCCTGTCATTCAAATTCAGTGTTTTTGACACTGCAATAAAATGTGGACTAGGTGCGTGTCCTACAGTAAAATGTAAATGTCACTGTCCTGCTGACGTGCGTTGTTTTCTTGTATGATTTATTCTTTCTCTCTGCTTGTTTTCCATTCAGGCATTGATGTGGAGCAGGTTTCTGTGGTTATCAACTTTGACTTGCCAGTTGACAAGGATGGAAACCCAGATAACGAGACATACCTGCACAGGATTGGACGCACAGGTCGATTTGGAAAAAGGGGACTGGCCATCAACATGGTGGACAGCAAGATGAGCATGAACATCCTCAACAGGATCCAGGAGCATTTCAGTAAGTCTGACAGCAGAATCACACACACCTCTTTCTCATATTCTCATATGATCAAGTTAAAAGGCTGCTTTTTTCTTTTTCTTTTTTTTTTACATCTATTTTTGGTCAAGTGTAAGTATGGTTGAAAACTTTAGGGAGATGGTGGCTTGCAGTAATTAACCAAATGTCATCTCCATAATTGAAACCCTCTAAATTTATGATCTCTCCCTCTACAGATAAAAAAATTGAAAAACTAGACACAGATGATCTGGATGAAATTGAGAAAATTGCCAGCTAAAGAAACCGGCGTGATCGCATGAAGGACGCCAGCCCAACTACCCATCCCCCTCTTCGTTCTCTGAGGACTGTACGCTCCTACAGTGTTTTATGCTTTTATTTTTTATTTTTAGCTGTTGGAGAAATGAGCAAAACCACAAACACAGCATATGTTTACATGTGGATATGTCTCCTCTCAGACAAGTATTTTGTAAGTCTCTGGAACATACCCCATTTCACTCTTTGTACTTCTCTGAATAAAGTCTATGAGTTTATTGCTGTGTATTGTGATGCTGTAAAAGCAGGCATAGTTACCCTTTTTATTAAATACACATAGATTTTAAAAAACACTTCTCAGTGTTTGCTGTAGTGGTGGCATGATACAATTCTATGAAGAGATTCACAAAAAAAACCCTAATAGAAAAAAAAAAGCATTCTATGTGCCACAAAGTTTTTAATATTAAAAGTAAAGTATAACTGAATGTAACCGTATCATGTGAACTATTACAGCTTTTTATTGTGCTTTGTTATAACTACCAAAATCGGTACAAAGGGTGAAATTGGGTATGCTGCTCTGAGTGGTAGTTTAATCATTTAAAGATATGTAATTTTGATGGTGATGGTTGGGGTTTCAAGGGTCTATGCAAACTTATCAACCTGTGATAGCTATTATCAAATACTATCAACCTGTATTCACGTGACACAAATTAATCCTGAAATAACCTCAACTTTAGCATCAGGGTGTGTAGTCAAATGCCAAAACAGGCTGCCTAGAGTGATAACACACTACTAACTCCAAGTCATGGACATTTAGATGTTTCTGTGTTTAGCCAGTAACCGATTATGAGCCAACCACACATCTCACACGCATGCTATTTATATCATTTTAAAACACCAAAATGGACATTATCAGGTCAGACTTGGCACTGCTGCTGAGCATAAATCATTAGTCTTCTTCCTTCTCCTCCCCATCTGTCTCATAAAATCTCATTTTGGTTCCAAATGTAAAACCATTAAGGTCTGATGTGATCTGTTTCCTTTGTGTCTCATTTTCCCCACACAATCTTTTCAATCAGGGTCTCCAGTTTGACTATAGCTCAGCTACATTCTTCACCCAGACTGTGCTGTTATTAAGGATTGTGAGTTTAAAAAAAAAAACGCCTTCCTCAAGTGCATTATATATACATATGATTTTGTTATTAATATTCTAAGACATTGGGCTTAATATTCTGACTAACACTTGAAATTTTGATTATATATTGAATTATGGGCGTCTTTAGGATGTGTGAATTATCTTCTTGAAACCAAATGCTGAATTGACTTGAGGACCAGAGGACCTATGCTAATCAGATTCACTGTGTTGCTCCAACATGGTCGCGTGGATAGAAAACATGTACTTGTGTACATATTTAAAATTTTATGTTTAAGAAATAGTGTAACTGAATTATTGAGTCTGTCACTTCTAAGAAGTGCAAAAAAACATTCCTCATGAGGTTCAATTTCGACAGACGCAGCACTTCGAACACGGTGAGCCTAAATCAGCTAACCTCGCATCAGTTGGGTGACTGTACAAACTCAAGAAAATGTGTGATGTCTGGTGTATTTGACCAATGCGCTGGAACATTAAGACCAGGGATTGGTCGGTCTGAACCTTCTACAAACCTCATCTGGCTCCCAGCGGCACAGAGAAGACTGCCGGTGGTTGTCCGGTTTTAATGGACTATTTATGGACAACTTGCTGAAAATAATTTAACTCAGTGAACAGATGCAGCCAAATTAGAAGCAAGTGACTGTGCTGAAAATCCACATGAATGGTCTGTGAAGACTTTTGGGTTAAGAAGCAGTGTATGCAGTTTTTTTTGGACATTCGGATGTATACATTATCAGTGAGAGTGTGTGTGCACTTTGTTGATCCATATTGTAATGCCACCGTATGAGAGCCGTGGACACAAAGCAGTTTTGGCGATAGAACTTAACACTCTTCCCCACATGTTGTATACCTTGTTTGAAAACACGGAGAACCTACAAAACCCAGTTCACAAATGTATACATTGCCTAACCAGGCTTAAAGCAAGTTGGTGTAACCTGAAGATCATGTGTAGACAATGTTAGGTTCAAGGTGTGTGGTTCTTCTGTAGCTGAGCTGCGTTCATGACACAGTTATGTATTCTTAAAATGTTGAATTAAAGGAACATGGAGATGTTCGTCTGTATGGAGCCTAATGCTTATTTAAGTGTGGGAATTGTAATATCGACCACAGACTCACAGTAAAGCTGTTTTGTTATTTGTGAGAAGAAGAAAAAAATTCTTATAAAGAAAAAAGACTTTATTAAGATAATTTCATACAATAGTTCAAAAATATATCAAAACTAACAAACATATTCAAGTAGCATCAGTCTGTTGAGTTCCCAGTAGATGGTATCTGCAGGTCTGAGGAGGCAGAAACAAAGAGGTAACTCAAGACATGTTCCAATAAAGGAAAAGTAATGCTTAGTGTGTAAATTCCTAACAAAATGAGTAACTAAGACAACAACTGCAACCTCAGAAACTACGATATGTCTGATGTCTACGAGGTGTGTCAGAAAAGTTCCGGGACTGGTGACACAAAAGATATATTTAAAACCGAACCTACGAGTTTTCTCCTTCAGACGACCAACCAGCACGTCTACAAAGAGATCTTGTGGCGTTTGCTTCGTTCAGTGTGCGAGAAGAGACTAGAGTTGTGGCAGGACGAGTCGTGGTTGCTTCACCATGACAACGCACCTGCTCACAATGCCCTGAGCATCCGACAGTTCCTGGCTGAGATGAACATCGCTGTGCTGGAGCAATCTCACCCCACCTTGCTCCGTGGGGTTTTTGCCCATTCCCCAAGCTCAAAGGGTCATCAAGGGGACCTGTTTTGAAGGCGTGGACGACATCAAGATGGCTGTGACGACGGAGCTGCAGAGGATCCTGGAAGAATCCTTCTATGAGTGCATGGCGGTGTGGCAGAGAAGGCTGGGATAGTGTGTTAGACTCCAGGAGGATAACTTCGAAGGGGAAAACTTGTAGTTAGGATTTGAAACAGATCTTTTGTGACACCAGTCCTGAAACTTTTCTGACACACCTCGTATCACAACTCACAGTCGAACTATGCTACATTTTATGCTTCACAATATTGCTATTTATGCGATACAATTGTGAAAAGCAGCCAACAATTTGCAACATACACCGATCAGCCACTACATCAAGAACACTGACAGGTAGAGTGAAAACACTAATCATCTCCTTTCATTATGGTGACAGCTGTTAAAGGGTGGGATATAATAGGCAGCAAGTGAACAGTCAGTTATTGGAGTTGATGTGTTGGAAGCAGGAAAAATTGGGCAGTGTCAGGATCCAAGCGGCTTTAATCAGAACCAAACTGTGACCGCCAGATGACTGAGTCAGAACATCTCCAAAACGGCAGATGTGTGCCCATGCTGACCCCTTTCCACAGCCAAAGGAGCAGTGGGCATGTAAGCTTCAGAACTGAACCTAACTGGGAGAAGGTGACCTGGTGAATTTTATCTTCTTTCACACTATGTAGACAGCTTGGTGCATCTGAGTTGTTTACTTGGAGAAGAGAGAGCAGCAGGACGTGCTACAGGAAGGAGGCAAGCTGGCTGAGGCAGTGGGAAGTTCTGGTCAATGTTCTGCTAGGAAACCTTGGCTCCTGGCATTAACGTGAATGTCACTTTTAAACATACCTAAACATTGTTGCAGACCACATATATCTGGTCATAGCAACAGCTTTCCCTGATGGTTGTTCAGAAATGGATTGAGGAACATAACCAAGAGTTCACGGTGTTGAATTGGCCTTAAAATCTTGCAGATCACAATCTAATCAAGCATCTGTGGGATGTGCTACAAAAACAAGTCTGATCCATTGAGGTCCTACGCATGTTCCAGGACTGAAAGGATCTGCTGTTAACGTCCACACACACCTTCAGGGGTCTTATGAAGTCAATGTCTCTACAGCTCCACAATACTAGGCAGGTGGTTTTAAAGTTGTGGTGTTTAACTTATGATGGCTGTATATCGAGAGGTCTGTGCAAGTTGTCTGTTCCCTGATGTTCTAAGAAACATCTGATATGGTACTTTTTTTTTCCCCCAGATTGTTTCTTTTGTTGAGGTTTGAACAAACTACAGAGTTTCATAAGAAGATAATGCAGAAGTCCAATTAGTTTTCAATATCTTTCTTAATCATCCTGCAACACAAGATTTCCTGGTTGGTCCACGGTGTCTTTTGCATCTCTGGAGGCAAATGGATCTGGACCTTATTTTACTCTTGATCTTTATGCATTGTCATTGTATTTAAGTTCAGCCACCCTACTGAGTATGATTTCGGATGATCAGTGATTACTTCAAGTTTGCAAGGTCTCAAGTAACATTTAAAAAAAAACAAAAAAAACAATTTTCTTGCTATGAGAGTTATTGTTTCTGTGGGAGTACATTTATACAGTGCACACCGATACCATTCTAACAATATATATTTTTTTTTAGTATAACTGTGATGTTTGCTGAATCCTTTTTTGTCAAACTGACTCACCCGTCTCTCTGTACTCCACCCTGGTGAGGAAGAGGCCATACGCTGGAGCAGCCAGACCCTGTGGGTAGATCAGAGAGTCTCGAGCCTCCATTATCTCTCTCAGCTGGGGCAGCGAGAGCTGCCTTTGGCCTACTGCCACCAAGGCCCCTGTCATCCTCCGCACCTGGAGCAAACAGCCAGGGCAACACCTGTTACTCTTACGTGTACTGAACAGCCACATCACAAGAAACTGCATGACTTGGGTCACTTTGTGCTGAATGATTCCACAGGTTTCAGTCATCACCAGCAGATGGCGCTACTTGCTCACAACAAAATGCTACACAA